GGGAGACATTCCTCCTCGCCCTCGTCGTCAAGGGCTAAACGGTGTCTGCTGTCACTCGACTGGAACTGGACCGTGCACCATTGAGTATATCTGGGTATGCCTCGATAAGTTTGGATGCACTTGGCTCTACATCAACTCACCTCGGTTCATCTGGCTCTATATCGCCGCAAGTCGATTGGAGAAAAGTCGCCAAGCCCTTAGGGACCTGCGCCTCCTCCTCCTCCTCCTCCTCCTCCTCCTCCTCCTCCTCCTCCCTCCTCCTCCTCCTCCTCCTCTACTCCCCCCTACTACTACTACTACTACTACTACTACTACTACTACTACTACTACTACTACTACTACTACTACTACTACTACTACTACTACTACTACTACTACTACTACTACTACTACTACTACTACTACTACCTACTACTACTACTACTACTACTACTACTACTACTACTACTACTACTACTACTACTACTACTACTACTACTACTACTACTACTACTACTACTACTACTACTACTACTACTACTACTACTACTACTACTACTACTACTACTACTACTACTACTACTACTACTACTACTACTACTACTACTACTACTACTACTACTACTACTACTACTACTACTACTACTACTACTACTACTACTACTACTACTACTACTACTACTCTTTCTCATCGATCTCCTCTTCCTTCTCATCCTCATCCTCATCCTCATCATCCTTCGCCGCCTCCTGATGTCGGAGCTTCTGGATAACTGCTTCTGGGCAACTTCACGAAAGAGCTCTAAGGATAACGAGGTGAGCCACCACGGTCGCTCCGCGCAGGACGCTGATCGACCCGTCCCTTCCCAGGGACACTGTTTCGCGGTCGTTCGTTCTTTCGTCCTTTTCTTCCTCCTCCTCCTCCTCCTCGTTCTCGCGGCATGTCTCGATCTACAGTCAAGACGCTGAAATAAGGACTGCTTTGGGTTCGGAAGGGGCTCGCTGTGCCTTTGGTCATGCAGTTGCTCTTCCTCCAGGCCACCTCGTGCACCCAGTCCCTTTTGGTGTCGTGAAAAGGCTTCGTTTCTTGTTAGGCGTTCAGGGGCGTTGTTTCGCGTTCGTTCGTTTCTTTGTCTTTCTCCTCCTCCTCCTCCTCCTCCTCCTCGTCATCGTCCTCGCGGCCTGTCTCGCTCTGCCCTCTGCGGCCTCCTCGGTTAGGAGAGCCGCTTGGGGAATTCTGCGTGCGGGCGCGTGGCGTTCGACGGCCGACGTTCGCCCCTCCGTCTCGCGCAGGGGGGGGGGGCCTTCCCTCCGCAGAGGAAGGAAGAAGTCCGAGGTGGGCAGAAGCCCTAGCCAGCCAAGTCGATCGACGAATTGCGCTTCGGTTATCGAGGGTGGGGGGGGCGTCCGCTTGTCTGCACCCGCCGGGTCTGGTCCCGGCTCGTTTTCACTGAAGGGTGACCTGCTAAAGGGGGCTCCGACGCCCCATCGAAGAAGGGCATAAGAACAGAGACTCTCGTGGGTTACGCGCGGACTTCTTGGGTCGGCGCCAGACCCGCCCTCCCCACCGGGAGTGGAGCCCAGCGCCGACCCAAGAAATCCGCGCGGACTTTCGAGAGCTCCTGTTGGTGCTGGTTCGCTTCCTCATCCTGTGCCCCTCCTTGCCCTTCCCAACTCCTCTGCGTCCTCGTCTTTGCTCTCCTTCCCCTGCCCTCCCTCTCGGCCCGGGCTCCAGTCGAAGCTGATGCGAAGGGTGGGCACCCTTCCCGAGGGTACCCCCCGCATCCCGGCCTCTTCGTTCCATCCTCAAACACCTTCGACGGCCTGCCGCGCTCGAGGACGCTTCAGCACGGGCGTCCAAGGCCCCTGCATCCGCATCGCGCATCCTTACCTTCAGCTTTGACTGCGCAGGAAGTAGAAGCCCATGCCAAGAAACACCCCGCGTGTCTCCAGGCTGCCCTGGGTTTGGGTTCCGACGGTATTGCTATGGAGAGCATGACGTTCCGACACCAGGTGTCAGTGGACGTCCTGGGGTCTCAGAGTCGGGTTTCCTGTGGGAGGTTTCTTGTAGTCGAAGCTCCTGTAGTCGCTGCCCGGCCCGCCCACCCTCCACCCGAGCGAGGCAAGGGACAAAGGGGAGGGCAGCGCCTGCTATCAGAAGGACGAGCCCCGCCCTCGGAGCCGCCGACGACGACGACGCCGCCGACGCCGCCGACGCCGACGCAGACGCCGACGTCGACGTCGACGTCGACGTCGACGTCGCCGACGACGCCGACGACGCCGACGACGACGACGGCGACGACGGCGACGCCGACGCCGATGCCGATGCAGACGCCGACGACGACGACGACAACGACGACGACGACGACGACGATGACGACGACGACGACGACGACGACGACGACGACGACGACGACGACGACGACGACGACGACGTCAACGACACCGACGACGCCGACGCCGACGACACCGACGACACCAACGCTGACGACACCGACGCCGACGCCGACGCCGCCGCCGCCGCCGCCGACGACGACGACGACGACGACCATGACCACGACCACGACGACGACGACGACGACGACGACGACGACGACGACGTCGCAGGGCAGGCCACCTGCGCGGCCCCGGACGGCTGCTCGGAGGTGCGAAGCGAAACAGGTGGGGAGTGGGAGGGGGCCCACAGGTGCGAGAATCGGGGTCGATCCAGCCCCAGCGTGAGCTGCTGCGCACCTTGCGCGGCACGGTCGGCGGGGGAAGGGGGGTGTGTTGAGGGAGGGAGGCCTCGTCCTCCCTACCCTCCCTCCTCCCCCTCCTCTCCCCTCCTCTTCCCTGCTTCCTCCTCATCCTCCTCTGGGCCCTCGACGGTCCCCCTCGTCGCCGCGCCGGGACGCGGCCTGCAGAACGGATCAGGGCGGCGCCGCCGCAGGGTCCAGGGGGGATACGATGAGGACGGTGGACACACCGCCCATCAGCGGCGACGAATAATGCAGCAAATCCGTCGTAACTCTTCGGCGGCCGTCGGTTCAAGGCAGCCTGTGCTTGCACGGTCTATTCTCGCATAGCTTCACATCATTTCATATGGATCGGGATCGCAGCTTTTCTGTGCTCTCGGCCCCTTCTTGGTAGCCCTCGAGAGACTCCGGGGGGCCTCTGGGGTATACCTCCGGGGGGCCTCTGGAAAGTTCGCGGGCCTCCGACGCCGTGTTCTGGGGGCCCATGGCTTTGGGGAAGGGAGGAGAAAAAACGCTGGAAGTCGGCCAGCACGACTGCTCCTCCTGCGTCTCCCCCCCTCGTGAATCTCCTCTTCGTCCTTTGCATTATCATCATCAGGTCCCTGCTCCCTATCGTCTTCCTCCTTCTCCATCTTCCTTCTCATCCCTTTTCCTCCTGCTCCTTCTCCTCCGCCTCATCCTCCTTTCCTCCCTTCTCATCATCCTCATCCTTCTCCTCTTTCTCCTCTTAGCATCCTCCTCATCCTCATCCTTCTTTTCCCCCAGAGGAGGACGAGGGACAAGAGAGGAGGAGGGAAGCAGAGGAAGAACATCAGGAGGAGGACTACGACGACCAGATGGCGGAGGAGCATGTGTTGAGCATGACGGAGCATGGGGTGGATGATCTTAACAAGGTGAAGAAGAACGAGGAGGAGAAGGAGGAGGAAGAGGAGGAAGAGGAGGAGGAAGCGGAGGAAGCAGGAGGAGAAGGGACAGGGAAGGATGAGGAGGAGGAGGGTGGCGAAGGGAGAAGAAGAAGAGAAGCAGGATGAGAGCGGTGATTTGGAGGAGGAGGAGGAGGAGGAGGAGTAGGAGGAGCATGGGGCGAGCAGGATGAAAGAGGAGGAGGGGGGCCTTCGCCAGCGCCAACGGAAAACAAGGAGGAGGGGCAGGGAGTTCAAGGCTGGGTGGATTGAGGAGGAGGAGGACCAGGAGAAGGAGAGGGGGAACCAGACATCTGGCGGCTCGATCTCTTCGATGCGCGGGCCTGCGGACCTCTCGACCACATGGTTTATCCTTGATCCCGAGTCGTTTTGATCCGTCCTGAAGCCCGAACCGGGCCTAGAGCCGGAAAATGGAGCAAGGTTTGGGCGTTTCGATGTTCGAGCCGCCAAACGTATGGGAAGCGAGAGGAGGAGGGCCGAGCCAAGAAATCCGCGCGGACTTCCAAGGGTCTATGCTTAGGTAGCTCGTTGCCCCCCTCCAGGAGAAGGCGGAGGACGAGGAGGCGAAGGTGGAGGAGGAGGCGGAGGCGGAGGCGAAAGAGGAAGGGCAGGCGGAGGAGGAGGGCACCCCCCCTCTCGCCGAGGTTCTGGGCGGGCTGCCGGTCCGAGTGCGTCCCTGGAGAGTCGGACTCGGCGCCGCCTCGCTCGCCGCCCGTGCTCGTCCTGTCGTGCCGGTCCTCAGCGTCCGCTTGTTGTGGTCGGCCTCGCCCTGTCGTGCTCTCGCACCATGGCGGCATCGCGTCGCGAAAAAAGATTTCAGCAGCGAGAGCGGACGCTAACGCGTCCGAAGAGCCGACGGGCCGCTGGGCTGTGGGCACATTAAGTGACATTAAGACACGTGGAGAAGGAGAGGGCGGCCACAGACGAGTAAGAGAAGAGGGTGAAGTCGGGCGTGTCCCTCTGCATTTCCAACAAAAAAAAAACGTCAAAAGATGGTCTGGGGACGTTGTTTTCTACCATTCTGGACTATTTTGAATATGTTTTGACTATTTTTAATTTTTCCGCCAAAATCCGCTTGTGGGGGGACACGCCCGACCTACGAGGAGGGAAGCCTCGGACGAAGAGAGTCTGTATGCCACGAGGGGCGCGCAGGCAGCCTCTGGAACCCGGGGGGGGGGAGGTACTCGCAGGTTGTGCCGGACAGCGCACGTTGCCGGGGGGGGGGCGTCGAAGGTTGTGCTCGCAGGCAGGTTGCCGATGGGGGGCGTCGCCAAAGACACGACGCAACGATTGTGTTGCAACGTTCGGCCTCCGGTGGGCCTGACCCGTGGCCCCCCGGGTCCGTCACAAAACGATTCGGGTTGAGAGATTGGTCCGCGGGACGAGGTCCAGCCCCTGGGGAGCCGAAAACAACACCGCGTCAGCAGCCGTTCTGTCGTGATCGTCCTCGCCGTCCTCGTCCCCCTCCTCCTCGCCCTCCTCCTCCTCCCCGCCCTCGCCTTCCTCCTACCTTCGCCCTCGTACCACGCCTGGCGTTGGTGCCCTCAGGAAGACACGAACAACAACAACAGCAACAACAACAACAACATCAACAACAACAACAATCATTCTAAGACTGTTAGCTCTTACTTGCCCGTGTGTCATTCAAAACGAGTTCCCCACACGATCACACCCCTTTGGGGGGATGTTTTCTCTTTGCGCGGGGTGCGGGCTTAGACAGGCGGGCAAACCTAAACGCGCGGACAATCCTCCGTGGGCGTACATGTGCCCGCCATTGGACTTGGTGTGGGCCCTGCAAAAAGAGGAGGGGGAGAACGAGGGAGAGTGGGAGGAAGGGATGGGGAGGGACGAAGGAAGAGGGAAAACGCCAGGAGAGAAGGAGCGAAGAGGGGGGTGGTTGATTAGAGGCAGAGAGAGAGAGAGAGAAAAAAAAAAAAAAAAAAAAAGGTAGAGAAGAGAGAGAGAGAGAGGGGAGAGAGAGAGAGAGAGAGAAAAAAAAAAAAAAAAAAAAATGAGGGAGGAGGCAGGAGAGGGGAGGTAGAAGGGAGGAGGGAGAGGAGGGAGAGGGGATAGGGCAGAGAGGCATAAGGATGATGGAAGAGAAGAGGGAGAGCGAAGGGAGGAGAGGAGGGAGGAGGGCGAAGGGAGAGGGGGGAGGAGCAGGAAGGTAAGAGCGTGAACGTTCGAAGTCCTAGGCGAAAGCGCCGTTCCTTAAGGAAGTCTCGGGCGGGAGCCCACGACGGGCGGGCGATCCCCTGATGGGCGGGTCGCACGGGTGGGACATTCAAGCGGGATGCCTGAGTATGGCGAGACGTTGGGTGGACAAAACGTGTGCACACCCATCGCGCCAATATGTTACGACATCGAACTGCGTCGAACAAATATCCATAGCCCCCGCCCCCCCGACCCAAAGTTGATGGGGTTGGGTGCGAGGCAACGCGCAGGGGACAACATGTGAACACTTCAACTTTGGGTTTGGGGGTGAGGGGGGCGAGCCACATGTGCATTGCAATTGTCGTTGCCATCATGCCTGATTATCTTCTCGCCGTCGGCGTGGACATTTTTTGTCCGGGCACCAGAGGGCGATTCCTAAGTAAATTGTGACGGCGTCCTTGGCGCAGCGTGTTTCCTGAGCGTCGAAAGCGCGATATCTGAACAACTTGCATGGACGTCACAGGCGAGAGCGCAATTCCTGAATGAATTGTGAGGGGGTCTCTGGCGGGAGCGGGGGTCTTGATTCAATTGCGAGGAAGTCTTGATTCAATTGCAAAGAAGTCTCAAGCGGGAGCGCCGCTCCTGAGTAAATTGTGATGAAGTCTCAAACGGGAGCGGGGGTCCTGATTAAATGACGAAGAAGTCACAGGCGGGAACACCGATCCTGAGTAAATTGGGCGGAAGTCTCAGGCGGGAGCCGTTGTTGTTGTACTCCGGGGGGCCAGGGGCACAGTTTGAGCACCAAGATTTTCCCTGTCAAAAAAAGGTGCGAGCGTCGAGGAGCACACTTTGATTGAGAAAGAACAGCATGCACCGGTGAGGGGGGATCAACAATAATTGTTCTTCAGAAATGAGAGCTCAACAACAATCATCAGCAGCAGCATCATCATCATCAGCATCGCCATCACCATCGTCATCGTATACATTATCATCCTCATCATCATCACCATCATCAGCATCATCAGTATCAGTTCCGTTATCAGAATCATTCTCAGCAGCAGCCTTAGCTTCATCAGCAGCCTCAGCAACAGCATCAAGATAGTCATCATCATCCGTACCATTAAGAGTAGCATCACCATCATCGCAGCATCAACAACAGCAGCATCATCATCGTCAGCAGCATCATTATCCATCATCATTGCCGTACCCTTCATATTTCATCCCCCCTCTTCATCCCCCCTCCCTTCTACCCCTCGTCGCCGCCGACCGGCCAGAGACTCTGAAAGCTCAGGGTGGCCGCCCGAGGTCAGGCCGATTCGCCATGAAGGAAAAGGATCCTGAGCAAAGCGGGGCCTGAGGTTCTTCGCCTTTGGGGCCTCTGAGTCTTCCACGGGCCCTGGGACTGTCAAGAAACGAATCATGATGAGAAGCTGGTCCTGGACCCATTTCTTTCATGCCAGCCAATACACAGAGACGCAGTGGGAAAAGGCGTCTGGAAGTTTGAATTGACGGTGGATGTTTGTCAGACATGCTGACGCTCTGCTCTGAGGGGGGCAGTCTAGTAGATCCTTCTACGTCCCATCTTCCTCCCTCAGCCTCCTCCTCGTCCTCCTCCTTCTCCATTCCTTTTCCTTTAAATCAAAAATGTAAGTAGCAGGGAGGACGGGAAGAAACAACAAAAAAAAAAACACACACACACCCCTGTCGCACACCGACTCTGGTCGAAAGGGCGGGCCCAGCGATTCGCCTGAGACGTCCTTACCAATTATGACCCTGAAAACTGACAACAGCTACACATCTGGAGGTCAGGCCATTTCTAAAATGTGGCACACGTCGCAGGACCGCACACGTTCGTTCTAAAAACTTGCATAAGCTTCACAGATTGAGGGCGGGCCGTTTTCAAAATGTGGTTCTCGCCTCAGCGCCGCGCAAATTCGTTGCACAAACTTGCAAGCGTTTCACTGATTGAGGGCGGGCGATTTTGAAATTGTGGCTCTCGCCTTAGCGCCGCGCACATTCGTCCTAAAACTTGCAAGTGCTTCACGGATTGAGGGCTGTTCCTTTTCGAAATGGGGTTCTCGCTTAAGCGCCGCGCATATTCGTCCTCAGCATTTGCGTTCACATGGTTAACGTACCAGGGCGCAACATTTACGTTGACTCGCGGTGGTGAATTATCAGGAATGGTGTTCTGGCACGAATCAGGATCGGTCGTCAAGACGCAACACTCACGCTGATCCGTGGCGTTGAAGTGCCAAGACTGGCGCTTGGCATGCTTCAGGATCTTCAAACGTTTGTCCCCCAACGAGGTACTTCCTTCAGTGGACATGGGTCTTGTTGGGGGACTCTGAAGAGGGAGCTTGAGGGGAGATGTTATTCCTACATCATTCATAAGCCGTGGGTTTACACTGGTCCCCCTCCTCCTCCTCCTCCTCCTCCTCCTCCTCCTCCTCCTCCTCCTCCTCCTCTTCCTCCTCCTCATCATCACCATCATTATCATCGTCATCGTCATCATCATTAGCATCGCCAACATCACCATCGTCATCATGATCAGCATCGTCTTCATCGTCATCGTCATCGTCATCATCACCATCACCGTTATCCTCATCATAATCAGCATCATGATCATCATGAGCATCATCGCCATCGTCATCGTCAACATCATCATCATTATCAGCATCATCATCATCGGCAGCAACATTATCATCATAATCATCGTCATTAGCACCATCAGCAGCAGCATCATCATCGTCATTGTCGTCATCATCATCACCACCACCATCATCATCATCATCATCATCATCATCACCATCATCATCATCATCATCATCATCATCATTACCACCAGCATCATCGTCATCAGCGTCAGAGTCATCAGCATCGTCGTCATCATCATCCTCGTCATCATCATCATCACCATCATCATCATCATCATCATCATCATCATCATCATCATCATCGTCATCGTCATCGTCATCGTCATCATCATAATCATCGTCATCAGCATTATCATCAGCAGCAGCATTAACGTCATCGTCATCATCATCATCATCGTTGCGACCCCGCCCTTCACCCCCCCACGCATCGGGGAAACTTTGGCCGCAGCACACTTCGCTGCGAGGACAGCTCCGGGCCGGACGAGAAGCCGTGGAGCTGCACGGAGGTGCAGAAGCCGGGGAGGCCCGCGCGAGAGGGACGGAGGTCAGGCGGCTCAGAAGTGTACGGTCGTGAACTTTTGGACAGCGTGTCGCTCCGCCACTCCGCCAGTGCTGGCCCACCACGCTTCGGCGCGACACACCATCCATTTTCTGGTCCCCAGGCGTCAACCAGACGGGGCTAGAACGAGGACAAATCCGTTCCAAAGCGTTCCGGGGCGCTCTCAGAGCGTTCCAGAACGCTCTGAGAAGGCCGCGGCGCCCGAGATATCCTCAAGTCTGATCTCAGAGATTTCCGATGTATCTTCCCCCGATGTTTTCCCCGTCCTGGCTTCGTCTTACTCAACGTCCCGAGTTGTATCTCGTCTTGACCAGAGATTCTCAGGACGCCCTCCGCGTCTGCGCGGTTTGTTCGTACCCTGCGCCTGTCCTACCCACAGAGGTCGGGCCGGGCAGGCAGCCTCGAGATGGAAGCAGCACGGATCTCACAAGCGGCGGACCCCAATGCTCAGGGGCCGGATAACCAACCCCTAGCAAGCAATCCCCTTCCGTGGCGTCCCACTCGCCTCGCCCCGAAGCGTATGTGCGCGGCCGTAGGGGAGCTCAAAAGGCGAGGGTGACGTCACGAAGGGGGATGGTTTGCTAGGGGCCAGTTAGGCCGCGCCCGAAATGCGCACGCAGTTGAGGACCGGGTCGCGGAGTTGGCAGGGGTGTGTCGGCGGAGCCGTGGCCAACGGGATTCGACTCGTGCGGAAGCGCTTCAAATAGGAAGAACAATAATAACAACAATCCTAACACTTGTTATTGTTAAAGACATCGTAATAATCGTACTCCTAGTATTAGTTATAATGCTAGTAGTAGTAGTAGTAGTAGTAGTAGTAGTACTAGTAGTAGTAGTAGTAGTCGTAGTCGTAGTCGTAGTCGTAGTCGTAGTCGTAGTCGTAGTCGTAGTAGTCGTAGTCGTAGTCGTAGTCGTAGTAGTCGTAGTAGTCGTAGTAGTAGTAGTAGTAGTAGTAGTAGTAGTAGTAGTAGTAGTAGTAGTAGTAGTAGTAGTAGTAGTAGTAGTAGTAGTAGTAGTAGTAGTAGTAGTAAGAAGAAGAAGTATAAGTAGAAGTAGTATCAGTAGTTGTAGTAGTAGTTGTAGTAGAAATTGTAGTAGTAGTAGTAGTAGTAGTAGTAGTAGTAGTAGTAGTAGTCGTAGTAGTCGTAGTCGTAGTCGTAGTCGTAGTCGTAGTCGTCGTAGTCGTAGTCGTAGTCGTAGTCGTAGTCGTAGTAGTAGTAGTAGTAGTTGTTGTTGTAGTCGTAGTCGTAGTCGTAGTCGTAGTCGTAGTCGTAGTCGTAGTCGTAGTCGTAGTAGTAGTCGTAGTAGTAGTCGTAGCAGTAGAAGTAGTAGTAGTCGTAGTAGTAGTAGTAGTAGTAGTAGAAGTAGTAGTAGTAGTAGTAGTAGCAGTAGTAGTAGTAGTGGAAGAAGAAGAAGAAGTATAAGTAGAAGTAGTATCAGTAGTTGTAGTAGTAGTTGTAGTAGAAATTGTAGTACTGGTAGTAGTAGTAGTAGTAGTAGTAGTAGTAGTAGTAGTAGTAGTAGTAGCAGAGTTATAGTAGTTATAGCCGTGATAATGATAATGATCATAGATATGGTAATCATGATGGTACTACGAAAGACAGCATGAATAATAACAACATCATCATAGTAACAGTCATTAATGCGTAGATGGAGATGGCAGCCCCGAGAAGGCATGGAACCTCCATCACAAGGGCTCGCCGATCTCGAAGATTACCCTGGAGCGGGAACTCCGGTGCACACTGCAACACAACATAAGCGCCCCTTTCTCACGCCGCCGCCATTTTGAATTGTTTGTGGCCCGCGAGCCCGCCGCCAATTTGCTGACTGTTCCCCGCGCTTGTTTTTTGCACGAGTTTGCATCTGTTTGTTCGGTTGGTTTGGGATGCGCTGGTCGCCCCCCAAAAAAATCAGGAGCGATTAGGGCAATATTCGCCGCCAGTTTTCTTCGCAGGCTGATTGACTTGGGATGTTTGTCCCCGCCGCTATTTTGTTGGCAAGGACAATGACTGTTTTTGAATAATTCACCCGTCGTTCGCCGTCGTTCCTACAGGGAGCCCTTTTCGTGGGCCTCCAGGCTGCTCTTATTATTTACTTATCGAGAACCATAGAAGACCCGAGCACACTCCACCATGCGCTTGTGGCACGGCGGCGGATAGCACATCGTGCGCATGCCACAGAAACGGTGCGCACACGCTCTGGTTGTACGTCGATGTTCACGCGCACGCGGCATTGCGCATATGTGTGCGAATACACGCCACACGGGGCAGTGTTGCACATGTGTTTGGCGCCTATTGGTTACAGTCTGTGTGTTCGTTGCGATCGTTAAGTGCAGAAGTCCCATGGTTTAAAATTTCAACACTGCTGCCAATAAGTTTACACTTGGGACATAGATGTTGTGATATGCAGCGCACGCGCATACAAATGATTGCAACTGCGTGGTATGTAGGTGCGCTTTCGGGCTTGCCCGCCAATGCACCTGATGATTCAAAGCAGGAAAACGGACAGCAGACCTTCGTCATGTGACAGAGTTCCACAGATGGCATTCATCGCTCAACTTCACCAGCATGAGATTCTGCAACAATTGGCACCCAGCACGCACATGTTTGCGGAGTTGGCCCGTGGGGGGCCTGGGGCGGTTTAAGGATGGGTCATGGCGACTCTCAGGGCCATCTGGGTCTGGGGCTAGTGAAATGTTGGTGATGTTGCGGACTGGGGCGCCAGAGCTTAAGTGGTACCATATGGCATGTCTGAACATGTTTTCAACAATTTTAATTGCGATCAAAGCACTCCGTCTCACAAGCGGATGCACCATTAGAAGGGCTTTACCTATTGCTTCGCAAGGAGGAGAGAGTGCAAAGCGTCGTGGCGGTTCGATGGTACCGAAATATACGCATGCAGACGCAAAGATCATCCAGTTAAGAGTGTCACATTTCATGGGTGATGATGGTATCGCAATGTGGGTATGAGCCGATACAAATGTTGCAGATTATGATGCACGCGCATGAACATTGCAGGAAGCGCATGCAACCTCATAAAAGTGAGTCGTTGCATCCATTCCGTTTGGGTCATGATGGTTTCTGGTTTTTTCCCAAAAGGATCGGACAAGAAGAGGCGGAGACATCCAGCGGGCAAAAACGCAGGAATGCGCGGAGACGGAGAGGTGGAGAGACGAGTTGCCCCCCACCCGAAGCCCACGGCGGAGCGTCAGGTCGAATGGCACGTGCGCGGCCATGGGCGAGAATTGTTCGGGGACGGGTTGCTGCAACAACCCTGCGCTGGGCTGCTTCGAGAAGACGTCCGAGTGGGCGGGCTGCAGGCGGGCTTCGCCCGAGTCGTCGTCCTCTGGGGGCCTGGAAGTCGCCGTGGCTGTCCAACTGCCCGCGGCAGCTACAGCCCTACACTCGGCGGCGCGCCCAAGGCACAAAGGCAGAGCTCGCGGGGCTTCTCTCAAGGCTCTGAAGTCCTCCGAAGCCACTCTCAGAGGGCTTCTCTCAGCAGGCGAAGAACGGTATGAACTAAACTGTTTCGCTGTCGGTGGCGCCTGCCCCAGGGCGGCTGGAAAGTTCACCCCTTGACGCGCCACCGTACGGGTATAAACTTCCCAGCCGCCCTGGGACATGCGCCCCCGACGGCGACGGAAAATTATATGTTATACCGTTCTTCGCCTGTTAATTCTCAAGAGGCCCAAGGGCGTCTGATAAGCCCGCCGCCTTCTGAGAACGCCTGCCCCCTCTCAATTCCCCCATCGGCGCGCCGCCGACACAACAGCCTACCCGTGCCGCACTCGTGGCGGCTGTGTCGTGTTGGTACCGTGGCCGTGCGTGATCTGTCGTGTCGGCCCCGCGAAGCCGGCGCGAGGCAGTCTGTCCTGCTTGGCGGCGAAGATCGGGTCGAACGATGGGGGGGAGATTGGAAAGTGGGGATTACCAAATCTCATGCGTCGGGGGTCGCCAGTAGGTCGTGGAGGATTCGTCGAGAGAACGTTGATATTTATTTGTCTTTTCTCCTCCTCCCCTTCCTCCCGTGCTCCTCCACTCCGCCTTCCTACCTCTCCTGCACTCCAAGTATCCCCCTTCCTATACCCTTTTTCTCCTCCGCGCCCTACTCCTCCTCCTCCTCCTCCTCCTCCTCCTCCTCCTCCTCCTCCTCCTCCTCCTCCTCCTCCTTCTCCTTCTCCATTTCTTTTCCTTATAGATAGCTCATCCCTGTCGTGCCCCGAGGCCGGTCGAAAAGGCGGGCCGGGCGTTTCGCTTGAGACACCTTCACCACGTATGACCTTGATGCTGAAACATTGGTAACAATGTCACAGATGGAGGGCGGGTGGTTTTGAAAATGCGATTCTCGCTTTAGCGCGCCGCATATGTGATTCAAAAGTTTACAAAGGGCATCACATATTGAGGGTGGGTCGGAGTCAGCATGTCATTATCGCTTCAGCGCCGCGCACAATCGGTTTAAACATTTGCAAGAGCTTCACGGATCGAGGGCAGGTGGTTCTCAAAATGTGGCTCTCGCCTTAGCGCCGTGCATCTTCGTTTCAGAAGGTTGCAAGAGCTTCACGGATTGAGGACGGGTCGTTTTTGAAATGTGGTTCTCGCTTTTGCGCCGCGCACATTTGTTTGAAACATGTGCAAGAGTTTCTGTTTACTCTCATGGTTCACGTACCAGAAATTGCGTTTTGGAGCGACTCAGGATTGTCAGGGCGCATCAGTTACATTGATTCGCGGTGTTGAAGTCCCAGGAATGGTGTTTTGGCAAGATTCTGGATCGCCAAGACGTGACACTCAGGTTAATACGTGGCGTTGAAGTCCTGAGACTGGTGTTTTGGCACGCTTCAAGATGTTCACACGGTTCTCCTCCAACGGGGCAATCCCCTCAGTGGAGATTACCCATTGCAGGGATTTGTAAAGAGAGTTCTTGGCGGGAGGGTGTATTTCAACATCTCAACATCGTTAATGAGTCGTGGGATTACACTGGTCCTCCTCCTCCTCCTCCTCCTCCTTCTCCTCCTCGTTATCATCATCATCATCATCATCATCATCATCATCATCATCATCATCATCATCATCATCATCATCAACAACATCCACCTATTCCTCCTCAGCCTCCGCCTCCCCCTTCCTTTCTCCATCCCCCCCCCCTCCCCCACTCCCCTCCTCATTATCCTCCACTCCCTCCTTCCCCTCCTCATCTCCCTTCGCTCTCTCCTCCTCGTCCTCCCCCGTCTCCCCCCCATTCCTCATGGTTTGTTTCCTCTGCTTCATATTCGTCATCATTCGTTGGCTATGAATTCGTTTTCATCCCCCTCATACCCACTCTGTTCATCATTGCATATGAATTACCCTCGCGCCTGTCTCATCCGAACTGCTCATCCTCAGCATCATGCCCCCACCTGGTCATCCACACTCCCACCCCCTGCCCACACCCCTTGCCATCATCGGCAAAAACATCAATATGGCATGACAGCATCGGCAACACGCAACCGCATCAACAGTGACATCACCAACGCTAACACCAACATCCCCGCAACCACCATCAGCAGCGGACCCGTTGTTCACCATTGCTCACCGATGCTCATCGTGATCGGCCTCCCCATCATCAGCATCCTGATCGTTATCGTCAACATCAGCATTACCACCGTCATCTTGGACGCTGGCCCAGTGCTCCCTGCAGCTGGTTCCTGGTCCAGCGACTCGCGCCGAGCTCCTAGGCGCATACCAGTTATTGGAACCCGCCCCAAAGGTTGAAAATAGCCAAAAATCTCACGACTTGATTTTCTCATGATTCGGAGGGGTCTGGGCTTGCATCGCCATATCAGACCGTACTTAGCCGAGCTACATTGATCGTGCGCGAAATTGCCGCAAGCGCCACCGCAGCTGAGTGACGCGCCGCGACGCGCGCTCAGGCGGACCTGCGAGCCAGGGCAGCCCGACCCGAGCGGCTCCGACGACCAGCCTTGGTCGTGCAAGGAGCGCCTCTCCGCCGACCGCCCTGACAGGGCTCATTCCCTATTAGAAGGGTTCTTACTCTCTGGGCTTAAAGGGGCCGGGCAGTGGAAAGCGCCCCGGGCGGTTCCCCCAGTATCCGCCCCGCGGTTCCCCCAGTTGCGCTCCCTGGGTTCACCCAGCCTAGCTTAGCTTAGCTTAGCTTAGCTAAGCTTAGCTTAGCTTAGCTTACATCATCTTAACATAGCTTAGCTTAGCTTAGCTTTGCCTAGCCTAGCTTAGCTTAGTTTAGCTTAGCGTATCTCATCTTAGCTTAGTTTAGCATAACTTCGCTTAGCATAGCTCAGTTCACCTTAGCTTAGCGCAGCGCAGCATAGCGCAGCGCAGCATTGGCACAGCATAGCATAGCATAGCCAAGCATAGTATAGCATGGCATAGCATAGCATAGCTCAGCATAGCATAGCATCTCATAGCATAGCATAGCATAACATAGCATAGTGCAGCATGGCATAGCATAGCATAGCATAGCATTGCTTAGTATAGCACCGCGCAGCATACATAGCATAACACAGCATAGCATAGCATAGCATAGCGCACCATAGCATAGCATAGCATAGCGCAGCACATCATATCATAGCATAGCCTAGCATAGCATAGCATAGCGCAGCATAGCATAGCATAGCATATCATAGCATAGCGCAGCATAGCATAGCGCAGCATCGCATAGCGCAGCATGACATAGCATAGCATAGCCTAGCATAACACGGCGCAGCCGAGCGTGCCTTAGCATAGCATAGCATATCATAGCATAGCGCAGCATAGCAAAGCATAGCATAGCATAGCATAGCATAGCGCAGAGTAGACGGCATGTAGATGCAGGTGTAGATGTAAATGTAGCTGTCGGTGTAGATGTAGATGTTGCTTTCCTAAATTCTCCAACTCCTAGGTAGGGTCGCACTGGGATAATTTCGATTCCTCCGACTCGACTTGCTTCAACTTCGGTCGATTCCGATTCCGATTCGATTCGAATTCGGATTTCGATGTGGGTTCAGTATCTCATTGGAGTCCTTACCAGCCTGCCGATATTTGCGACTCGGCTTCTCTTGACTTGGCTCTTAAGGCAGGAGAAGAGAGGACAGAGAAGGAAGGGACAAGGGACAGGGAGGAGGATAGAGCACGAGAGAAATTAGCAGAAGGGGGGTTCGGAGCTGAAAACGAACCAGACGCGTAGATCGGGTGGGTAGACCCTAACAGGCGGGTCGGGAAGGCGGGCCCAGGCGGCCATGTCGAGCAGGCGGGTTGCTGAAGCGTTCGTCTCGCAGGAATCGCGAGGAAGTCTCGAGCGACAGCGCGATCCCCAAATAAATCGTGTGGGAATCCTCGGCGAGAGCGTGATTCCTGAGTGTCGACGGCGCGGCGCCTGAATAAATTGCAAGGAAGTCCCACGCGAGAGCGCGATGTCTGCAAAAAATGTGAAGGAGTCCCACGCGAGAACGCGATTTGAACATCAGTTGTGGGGAATTATCAGGCGGGAGCCGCTGTTGTTGTAAACTGGCGGCCAGTGGCCCAGTTTGGTGACCCTTCGCCTTAGCTGAAAACACGTGGCAGAACCATACGGGCAGATCGGGCGGGCAGATCCTAGCGGGCGGGTCGGGAAAGCGGGCCCGGGCGGCCAGGTCGAGCAGGCGGGTTGTTGAAGCGTGAGTTTTGCATGAATCGCGAGGATGTTTTAAGCGATTGCGCGATTACTAAGCAAATCGTTCGAACATCAAAAGCGAGAGCATAATTCCTGTGTCGGGCACGGCGTCCGCATAAATTGCAAGGAAGGCCCACGCAAAAGCGCGAGTCCTGCATACATTGTGAGGAAGGCCCGCGCAACTGTGAGGAAATATCCGGGGGGAGCCGTTGTTGTTGTTGTATTTGGGGGGTTGGGGTCCCAGTTTGGGCACGAGGATTTTTCTTCTCAAAAACAGGGTGCGAGCCCCGAAGGGGCACTTCAACTGAAAGATACCATGTGCACCGGTGGGAAGGGATCAACCGTTTTTTGTTTCGCAAACGAGAGTTCAACATCGTTTTCGATCGTACCCCCTTTGGGGTGTACGCTCCTGATCTACCACGCGGATTTAATGCAGCCCCTAAAATAGTGGAAGAGCAGACGGATGAGAATGGAGATTAGCAAGAAGTAGGATAGGAGCAGAAACACGTGGCAGAACCAAACGGGTAAATCGGGTGGCTAGACTCCAACCGGGGGGTCGGGAAGGCGGGCCCTGGCGGCCAGGTCGATCAGGCGGGCTGCTGAAGCGTGCGTCCTGCATGAGTCGCGAGGACAGAGCGAAGCTTGAGCGAGCCCCCCCCCCTCTCTCCTTTCCCCCCCCCCTCGCGTGTCAATTCTTTCGTCGGTGTTCGACGTTTGCGTCCCCCCCGACCCCCCCCCCCTTCCGGAGCGAAGCTTATTTGTTTTATTCCCCAACACTCCTATGGTTGGGCATTCGTTTTGAATAGAGCAGTGTGGTCGCCCCGTCCTCCTCCTCCTCCACTCTCCTCCCCTCCTCCTCTCATGTTTCCTGTGTTCCCCTCTCCTCTTCTCTCGTGCCGTCGGGCTGCGATCTGCGCAACTGTCGCCACTTTCGCGGGCTCCTGGGAGGCCCAGCGGAGGTACGTCCCACGCGGATCACCTCGGGACCTCGCGGTGCCCTGGGGGCTGCGATCTGCGCAACTGTCGCCACTTTCGTGGGCTCTTGGGAGGCCCAGCGAAGGTACGTCCCACGCGGATCCCCTCGGGACCTCGCGGTGCCCTGGGGGGCTGCGATCTGCGCAATTGTCGCCACTTTCGTGGGCTCCTGGGAGGCCCAGCGGAGGTACGCCCCACGCGGATCACCTCGGGACCTCGCGGTGCCCTGGGGGCTCCGATCTGCGCCATTGTCGCCACTTTCGTGGGCTCCTGGGAGGCCCAGCGGAGGTGGGTCCCACGCGCATCCCCTCGGGACCTCGCGGTGCCCTGGGGGCTGCGATCTGCGCAATTGTCGCCATTTTCGTGGGCTCCTGGGAGGCCCAGCGGAGGTACGTCCCACGCGGATCACCTTGGGACCTCGCGGTGCCCTGGGGGTTGCGATCTCGCAACTGTCGCCACTTTCGTGGGCTCCTGGGAGGCCCAGCGGAGGTACGTCCCACGCGGATCACCTCGGGACCTCGCGGTGCCTTGGGGGCTGCGATCTGCGCAAAACTGTCGCCACTTTCGTGGGCTCCTGGGAGGCCCAGCGGAGGTACGTCCCACGCGGATCACCTCGGGACCTCGCGGTGCCCTGGGGGCTGCGATCTGCGCAATTGTCGCCACTTTCGTGGGTTCCTGTGGGGCCCAGCGGAGGTGGGTCCCACGCGGATCACCTCGGGACCTCGCGGTGCCTTGGGGGCTGCGATCTGCGCAATTGTCGCCACTTTCGTGGGCTCCTGGGAGGCCCAGCGGAGGTCCGTCCCACGCGGATCACCTCGGGACCTCGCGGTGCCCTGGGGGTTGCGATCTGTGCAATTGTCGCCATTTTCGTGGGCTCCTGGGAGGCCCAGCGGAGGTACGTCCCACGCGGATCACCTCGGGACCTCGCGGTGCCCTTGGGGCTGCGATCTGCGCAATTGTCGCCATTCTCGTGGGCTCTTGGGAGGCCCAGCGGAGGTGGGTCCCACGCGGATCACTTCGGGACCTCGCGGTGCCCTGGTGGTTGCGATCTGCGCAATTGTCGCTTTTTTCGTGGGCTCCTGGGAGGCCCAGCGGAGGTACGTCCCACGCGGACCACCTCGGGACCTCGCGGTGCCCTGGTGGCTGCGATCTGTGCAATTGTCGCCATGTTCGTGGGCTCATGGGAGGCCCAGCGGAGGTACGTCCCACGCGGATCACCTCGGGACCTCGCGGTGCCTTGGGGGGCTTGCGATTTGCGCAATTGTCGCCATTTTCGTGGGCTCCCGGGAGGCCCAGCAGAGGTACGTCCCACGCGGATCACCCCGGGACCTCGCGGTGCCTTGGGGGCTGCGATCTGCGCAATTGTCGCCACTTTCGTGGGCTCTTGGGAGGCCCAGCGGAGGTACGTCCCACGCGGATCCCCTCGGGACCTCGCGGTGCCCTGGGGGGCTGCGATCTGTGCAATTGTCGCCACTTTCGTGGGCTCCTGGGAGGCCCAGCGGAGGTACTTCCCACGCGGATCACCTCGGGACCTCGCGGTGCTTTGGGGGTTGCGATCTGCGCATCTTGTGCCATTTTTGTAGGCTCCTGGGAGGCCCAGCGGAGGTACGTCCCACGCGGATCACCTCGAGACCTCGCGGTGCCCTGGGGGCTGCGATCTGCGCAATTGTCGCCATTTTCGTGGGCTCCTGGGAGGCCCAGCGGAGGTGGGTCCCACGCGGATCACCTCGAGACCTCGCGGTGCCCTGGGGGCTGCGATCTGCGGTCGCCACGTCCAGCGGAGGTGCAGATCACCTCGGGACCTCGCGGTGCCCTGGGGGCTGCGATCTGCGCAATTGTCGCCACTTTCGTGGGCTCCTGGGGGGCCAAGCGGGGGTACGTCCCACGCAGATCACCTCGGGACCTCGCGGTGCCCTGGGGGTTGCGATCTGTGCAATTGTCGCCATTTTCGGGGGCTCCTGGGAGGCCCAGCGGAGGTACGTCCCACGCGGATCACCTCGGGACCTCGCGGTGCCTTGGGTGGGGGCTGCGGCTTGCGCAACTGTCGCCACTTTCGTGGGCTCCTGGGAGGCCCAGCGGAGGTACGTCCCACGCGGATCCCCTCGGGGCCTCGCGGTGCCTTGGGGGCTGCGATCTGCGCAACAGTCGCCATTTTCGTGGGCTCCTGGGAGACCCAGCGGAGGTGGATCCCACGCGGATCACCTCGGGACCTCGCGGTGCCTTGGGGGTTGCGATCTGCGCAACTGTCGCCATGTTCGTGGGCTCATGGGAGGCCCAGCGGAGGTACGTCCCACGCGGATCACCTCGCGGTGCCCTGGGGGTTGCGATCTGCGCAATTGTCGCCACTTTCGTGGGCTCTTGGGAGGCCAAGCGGAGGTACGTC